AATAATTATTCAAACTTACTATCAATTACAAAATTTCTCGACTTCTCCATAAGTTCAATATTTAAGTTATTTTTTCACTATCAGTAAAATTCATTTTTCGATTCTTAAAGATCTCATATATACTTTTAATTATTGTGCTAATTTAGCATTGTTTGTTATGTATCCATGGACCTTATAAGAAATAGACCAACCCAAATGGGTTTCTCCCCTTGCCTTGGCGTATTGCCGGCTGTCACCTTGCCCATATCCGGAGGAGTATGCAGCGCGTATAATTTTCAAGGAAAAGCTGGTGATAGCACTTCATTTCACAAATTATAATTTTTAGATATTTTTATTTTTGAAACTCAGATTGTTTTTTAAAAATTTAGCACTTTTATCAAGCATAATTGATGTTCTAAATAATTATAAAGCTGTTGTTTGTTTTGTTGTTTGACTTCTGAATTGGTAATTATAAAGCTATTGCATGCTTTCAGGTCTGGATATTTTTGTAGCTTTTCCTATGCTGTAAAGAAATTTGTATCTCCTTCTTTTAAAAGTAATATTTTAAATCTGAACTAATAGAAAAATTCAAGCAAAAAAATTTTCTCTTACAATTTTTATGCTTTTATTGGTATAAATAAGTAAAAAAATTACTAAAATTGAAAAAAAAGGGATTTTTGAAAGTTTTGTTTTTGCTTAAAATTCTTATTTGTACTGCTTTTTTAAAATATATCTGAATATTAAAGCATAATATTCTACAAAGAAGTTTTATTTCAATAATATTTCATAATACATTATAGTGATTAACACTTTTTAACACTTTTAATAATTTTATGCATTTATTATAAAGTTAAAAATTGTATTTGACTGTAATAATTAATTGTGCTAGTATTTTATAGTGATTATTTTTTTTAAATTTATGTCTAGTTCTGCATAAGTTTTCTTATTTGTTGTTAATTTATTTTATCAGCCCAAAGAGGCGGCAGCTCAGAAAAGCTATTATTTTCGAAACGGCATTTTGCTTTGTTTCATTATAAATGTCCACTTTCACTTTGCAAACTGTTGCCACCAAATATTATCGCCCTGTATTATATTTAAAGAAATTAAATAATGAAGAATCTGCATGAATGCATGTATGTTTCTCTCGCACTGTGGAAAAAACAACAGAATTTAGAACCATAAAATTTTGAATAACGTAATCCTCCACCCGAACATGGGCACCTGCAAGGCCTAATTTCGAATTTGTTTTAATCCATTTCATATTTTGTAACTTTAAGGAAGTTTTGATTAACAAACTCAACGAGTTCAAAGCAAGCAAGGGCAACCCTGTACAGAAAATAACATTTTTATCTCCAACGCGGAAATTCTAAAGATATGTCATTTTCAAATATTTTGTGATATTGTTCTTGAATTGAATTTTGTGGGTTTACTTGCGAAGAACATGATATTTAATAAATAAAGGTAACACTCAAAACGCTACAAAAACGCTCCTTTGGGCGTAATATAAATTATATGCTGAGTGCTTCCAGAGTTTATCTTTTTTTTCTCATTATACTCAAAAACGTTTATGCTCCGAATTTTATGAATTGCTAAAATAAATAATCATCTTGTAATGTAATAATTAATGATCATATAATCAAATAAAATGATCGTCTTGTTATGTTATAATAATTTAAAAACTACTGCCAGAAATGCTCATAAAATCAAAGAAAATTATCAGATCTTGTTTAATTTTACCTTATTTGTTTCAAAGCATCATATGCTATCAATATTATTTAATTTTACTTTATCTGTACACAAAATAAGTTCATAAGTTTTGCGTTTAGAATTTTTAACGTTTTACTAAAAGTAAAGAAATTTTATACAAGAATTACGCTTGAAAAAAATGCGCAAAATGCAATGCAATAAAAATTATTGTTATCCTTGAATTATACTTTTTATGGAAACATATAGTGGTGAGGGTTAGTTTAGCAAATATATTTTATTTTGTTATTAAAACAATTTAAAAAAAAAGTGAATTTTAAGACAAGCCAAAGGTATAAATTATTTGTGACCTCTATTAATTTGCAGTTCATGTCACCATTCTTCAGATAAAAAATTCTGTAACATTTTATTAACCACGCCTCTCGCTTAAAATACTTACTTAGGTGAATGTTTATAGCCCTAACTAGTGCATAATGTTTAATTAGAAGTAAAATATTCTTTAAGGTTTTGTTTATTCATTTTCGAGAAAATTTTCAGCGCTTTTTCAATTTGGCCAATGTCACAAACAGCACGATACATATCAAACAATGCTAAATTAACACAATAATTAATAGCACATATGAGATCTTTAAGAATCGAAAAATGAATTTTACTGATAGGTGAAAAAAATGACTTATATATTGAACTTGTGGAGTAGTCGAGAAATTTTGTAATTCACAGTTTACATAATTTTTGGGTACGTGTCAGTTAAACGTCACTTAGTAACCTGTCGGCTTAGTAACCTGTTGACTAAATATCTTGACAGGTAAGTGTCCCGTAGCTCTAAATGTCCTGACAGCTAACTCTCTGTGTCGTCCAAATGTCCTGTCGGCTAACTGTCCGTGTCTGCTAAATGTCCTTTCGGCTAAGTGTCCTTGTCGGCTAAATGTCCTGTCGGCTAAATATCCTGTCGGCTAACTGTCCGTGTCCGCTAAATGTCCTGTAGGCTAAGTGCTCGTGTCGGCTAAGTGTCCGTGTCGGCTAAATGTCCTGTCGGCTAACTGGTGTCGGTTAAGTGTCCCGTCGGCTGAGTGGTTTTCGGCTAATTGTCACGGACCCTTCTTCTGTATACTAGCTTTTGCATCCAAAATCAAATACATGGCTATTTTGAAATTTACAGTAGCTACGGCATATATTTTTCCTTAGTTCTATTTGAAGTGGGTATTATATTTTTAGCCCAAAGGAGCATTAGCCCAAAAGGGCTATTAGTCTCGAAACGTGTAGCCACCAAATATTGTCTCCCTGTATTATATTTAAAGAAACTAAATAATGAAAAATCTGCATAAATGTATGTATATTTCTCGAATTGTGATGAAACAACGGTACATAGAGCCATCAAAATTTGAATGACGTAATCCTACTGAGAATATGGGCATGTGGAAGCCCAATTTTCAAATTTGGAATTTGTTTCATTATCGATTTCATATTTTGTAAAACTTTAACGAATTTCTGATTAACAAACTCAAGGATTTCAAAGAGAGAAATGGCAACGTTGTATAGAAAAAACATTTTGATGTCCAGCGCGTGAGACTACGTATCGAAAATTCTAAAGATATGCTCAATTTAAAATTATTTTGCGATATTGCTCTTGAACGGAATTTTATGGCTTAAGTGCGAAGATCATGATATTTAATAAATAAAAGTAATGTTTAAAAAATGTTAAAAAAACGCCCCTTTGGACTTAATTTAAAATCTGAAACCTTTCAGATTTTTAAAATTTTTTTTATCCTTTTTTTTAAATACGTACTCTGGAATATGAAATAACAAAAAAGTTTGATTTAAAGAACGTTCGAGATGACTGGAATTTGGACATGGTTTCATTTCTGAATTAAACGGTTGTAGAGATATTAAGTTATTTCGAAGCAGGAGAGATGAAAAATGAGCAATGTCCTCGCCGGGAGTCGAACCGCGGACCTGTCAAATACGCGCCGAGCGTGCTGATCACTACACTACGAGGGCATGCTAAGAAGATGGGAGAAATACTTTATACGGTATTGCAGCAATATAGAAAATCATTAGGAATGGAAAAGAGGCACAAATAAATAAAATAATAATTAATAATTAAAATTAAATAAAAAGGAAATACATATTTTAACATATTATCATAAATTAAAGGTAGGTAATGGTACAATAGGTTAATTAGATTAATATATCCTAAAAATGAAATAAACAAAAGAAAGGAGACTTAATTAATGATAACAAGGCAATGAAACCGAAAAATTTTAAACGTTAGTCTTCGCGGTTAGATAAAATTCCTCCTTTAGTTTGGTTTCTAATTCATTTATAGTCACTTTAACTGTATGCGTTTAATTCATAAATATTCTTTTTTCTTTTGCTGTTCCGAGAAAATGTTAGTTGTTCACTCAGTAGCTACAATCAATACCAGCTGCATTAGTTGCTACAAGAAATCTTCATTTATAAGAATACTTTCTGCTTATATTGCCATTCAGTTATATTGCAAACTGCCAGAACTCATCTAGAGCTCTTAATATACTGAAATTAAGATTGCTCGAAGGAAGTAAAAATTATTGAGTTAGGGTTTCTGTGGATCCGGTTAAATTTGAGCTTTGTTTTTTAACTTTATAATGGAATGCTGTTTTATTCCCGCCAATTCGGTTATATCTATCGAGTTTTGATTAAAAAACATCTGCTCTATTTTGTAAACAGTAAAAAGTTTCCGAAGTTCTTTTTAATTGAATTCTGCACTGAGATAGTTTGCATCCTCATTTTTCTGCACGGATGTTAAGTATACACAGAATTGCATTAATACTTTTACCATGAAAGGATAGTGTTTTATGAGCTCTTCTCGGAATTATTACACATATATCACGTATAAACAGACATACTTTAGCTTAAAAAATAAATAAAAGGAAATAAAATAAATCGGTTTTTCGAATAAAACTCCCAAACAAATGGCATGTCGCAGTGCGATTTCACAACCCTGTTGATACGGAATTCCTATTTGTTTATACTAACATATGGAAAATAACAAACGGAGAGATTTATTTCTTGCAACTACTCCAATAAACTTAACTAAACATTTAATAATTTATATTCCACGCTTTTCCTAGAAAACATTTCCATGCATTCTTCGTGGAACACCGGTACATTCCCGTGAAACTTGTTACTTTCGCGTTCGTAGTAGTTTCAATCTTCAGCGCCTGGCACAAAATCGACCTCCCGAGGTGCTGCCTGTCTTTTGGCGCTTGTTTTCCATCGCCAAACTCCTCCAAACACCAAAGAAAAAGCTCACGCGCGTGATTTTGAAAAAGTCGCGTTGTTACTTCCTTGCGGTGCAGGAGGTAGGAGCGACGGAAAGGAACCAATCGCGTTTCGCGGTCGCCGCCCCTTGGTCCGTCCGAGTGAAGTGGATGGAAAGGCAAAAGTTGGCGTGTCAGTCGAGTTGGAGAACGCAGAGCACATCATCCCTCTCCCTTCTCTCTATCTATGCACGTGCTACTCCCTCCCGCGGCTCAGGTGCGGGACATCAGCTCACCCATTAGTGCTATGAGGCTGATGGAGGTCATAGCAAGTAAGTAGGAGTTGATTTTCCATTGTTTTCTTTATGGGATACCACTTCGTAATACTGAAATTCAAGTAACAGACAGAAGTTTGTTTGAATCTATTTTTGACAAAAGCTCTTCTGAGATTGACATTTTCTAATCAATGCTATGCCAAAGGAATGTTGGGGATACTAAAGTAATCTTAAGAATATTTTATGAAGGTATTTCTAAGCCGCGATTTTTAAAAGTTGGATAAAAGCTAAAGTGTTCTTGCAGTATCATCTCAATTATAAAAAAGAAAAGTACAGCAAATGCTGGCACTCGAATGTTCTAAGACTGACTATTTTTAATTTCTTAATCAAATTTATTTACTACTTATTTCTTTCTAAACTCCCGTTTTTTGAAAGTGGGATAGATCGGAAATATTTAACGCGATATTCTTTCAGTTTTATAGCTACCGTACAGAGAATTCAGCAAATTTTTGAAAATTAAATGTTTTGCGATCAATAATTTTTAATTTTTTAAAATTTGATTTAGCCCTTTTCTTAACTTTGACTGTACCTTCAGATTTATCTGTTTTAAATGTATGCTCATTTGAAGTCAAGAAGTGATGACCAAATTTTTGCGCGTATTGTATTAAAATAGCTGATCACTGAAAGCTTTAATTCATGTTGTTTTTTAAAGTTTAGCATTTGAAATATGTTTATGTTTGTTTTATAAGTAAATAAGGTTTAGTTTGCTTTCCTTCAAACGCTGAATGCAGTTTTTTTTTTTATTTGAATGTTGTTTGTGGTACTTAATGCATTAAAATGGATAATTAATGCATTATTAAAATTTATAATCTTCAATTTTTGTGTCTTCTCTGTTATTCTTTTAAATTCTTTTTCATGATTATATAATCCCAAAACTTCGTGGCAAAATATCGTCTGAGACATCATTTCTTTTGGTCGTACTTAGTTTGCATTTCATTTTAGAATTAAAGCTCCTGTTTTTTTCTTCGGTGTTAAACAATGATATTTGCTGAAGGTAGAGAATTTTTGCTTATTATTATTAAAATTTCAACAGAAAATTCTGTGCAATGCAATTATTGTATATGCCCTTTATCTAAAGTTACTTAGGCAGCCCCACCAGCGGCCGAGCGGTAAAGTCGCTGAGCACTGGTAGTTCGGTCCGAGGTTCGAATCCCGCGAACGGGCTGGCTGCATGGGCGTTTTCGTGGTTTTCTCCATGTGTAACGTGTAAATTTTCTTTAGGAAGTCCTCCACGAAGGCATCCCTCCTCTTAGACAGGTAGCCCTCGAGGCTTTGCCGTAATCACATAAACCTAAAGTTGCTTAACCTACAAGCAGCTAATTTATAGCGTAAATGAAAACAGTTTGTTACGTTTCTTAATAATACATGTAGATTGTTTACCAAAGTGAAAATGCGTAGAGTTAATTCCAATAGGACTTATTTTATTTCAAGTTACTTCATCCCAGGGAAATGTTTATCGAATGAGTGAAAATGAATAATATAATACTTCTTTTAATAGTATTTATTTCTGTTTAAGTTTACTTCTTCCGCATGGAGATAGTTTATCAAGGGAATGAACACGGATATTGTTATTTTGCTTAGAAAAATATTTATAATTTTATCTAAAATTACTTTATTCTGAATGATTTTTTAACAAAGTTAAAAATACAGTCAGTCAGTTAAAAATACATTTCATACAGTCTGTCAAATAAGTAAAAGTGATTTATATTTTTTTTCCTCCTTTTATAAAGCTAATTTTATCTAAGTTTGTTTTTCTAAATTTATTTATGGAGACATACTATCAAATCAATGAAACCTAATATTATTTTTCTCAATATTGTTTAATTCTAAAGCATTTTCCTATGTTTAATTTCATACATTGCGTGCATAAGGAAATGACACTTTTTTAACACCAAACTAAAATATTCGTTAACTTTTTCTTATCTAAGTTGATTCAACAAAGCTTTGTTTGGATTAATACGTGATATCGAATATTTTAAATATGTGATATCGAATTTTTAAATTTTACATAATATAAGAAACAATTTCATGTATTTAAAACCGATCTTTTATTGAATCTTTAAATTTGTGAAATTATTTCTTAAAGGTGAAAGGTATACATACTGATATAATATATACACGCTTTGAAAACCTGGGTTTTAGATACTGTATTTGGACCCTCATGTTTGGACTTCAACTGTCGGGGATTTTAACTCTCCGAATCAAGATACTTTTCTGGGTTCTGCCATGTACTGAGACTTTTGTATTTTGAATTCAGTTCCAGGGGGAACAAAGCTAGCTTCATGATACTTTAGTGGACTTTCCCATGGGTACTGTTCAGAGACGTCGGTTCCACCTTTTAAATTTCTCCGCAAATGCATTTATTTCACCTCAAAGCAAAAAATCATTTTGCTCTTTGCTTTAACAATTCATCTAATTTTTCAACGTTCAAAACTCATTTCAGGCTTAGATTGAAATTACAGTTACGTAAAAATACGATTCTGAGATGTTGGAACTGAAATCCATATTTGTGATATTTGACATAGTAATCGAAGTATCTAGTTTTTTTCATTCCCAGATTTTATTTAATTTCTAATCACCCTTTTAAGAAGACAAATTAAGCATAGTTTAATATTATCTAAATATATTAAATAGAGTTTAGTATAATTGTACCTGAAACATCTTGGCGTGTTATGATTCCCAGTTTGAGATGGGGGGTAGTATTACTATATGACTAAAAGAGATGTCACTGAAAGCTTCTTATGTGACAATGGTAATTGGCTCGAGGTTTCATTAAACACATAGAAAAGTATATAAGGAATCATTCTAGAGATAGTTTTAACTATTTGCCTTTGCTAGGTCCTGTATATAACTGTAACTCACATGTGGGCAGAATGCCCAAACTCACTAAGTACTAATACTCAGGTTCATTTCCCTGCGACAAGTCAATACCTTCTAGGTAGTTCTTCGAAACGGTATTGACTAAGCAGGCTGAAGTTTTCTTGGAATGTCCTATGTGTACTGCTAATACAGTGCAGTTTCTCTAAGATTTGCTCCATAAAGGTAGACCTCTTAAGACACTTTGGTATACTTTTGGTACTTTGCAATAATGAAGATCATAACCTGATGTAATCTGGTTACAATCAATAATTTAAATACTAATTTTTACTCATTGTAATTGTGCTTGTTGTAATTGTTAATATACTTACAAATTCGGTAAAAATTAGATTAAAAAATATTCAGATCGTTTGACAACTTTTTATTAGGTACATTAAAAAACATAAATAGGAAAACGTAGTCACGAATACATTTTTTATTTCACGAAATTATAGATATTATACAAGATTTGAAATGCTAGTTTAGTTGGCTTTTAAATTCCAAACGGTATTAGTTAATTGGTAAATATATTAAAATGATAACTGCCTACCGAATTTATTTTGAAAAACATGTATTTTTACAAAAAAGAAAATGTGTGTAGAACATCCAGATTAAAAGAAAGTTCATATACGTGTTTGGCTTGGATCTGTGCATCAAAACGCATGTCTTTGTGTCTGTGCCATTAAAGGGCCGATTTAAGCTGTGTACTGATGTCATAGATAACGCAATATTTTGTTCAACCAATATTTATCTTGTAGTAATAAGTATTCTTATTTTTAAAGAGCAGTTTTTTTTTTTTTTTTTTTTTGTATACATGTATAATAATTTGGAATGTTCACATCATGATGCTGAAGAATAGAAAGTTATGGCCAAATTAGTAGTTGCAGTTATGGCCAAATTAAATATTCCTTTTTGATTGACTGACACATATTTTTATATACGTCAACATAGATAAGTTGGCGCAATAAGCACCTGTTCTTATAGAACTACATAAATATGGATAAAACTTAGGAAATACATTTGAAGCAAACAGAGAAAGCAATCAAGCTAAATAGAAAAGGAAAGAGAAAGTGTGTTCAGAATGAAAGCCTGGGACAAAAGAAAAAAAGTTATGGTTTGAAATTAGTTTCGATTTGCTTTATCTGGATTTGATAATACTTAAGTTTAAAAAGATTATTATTGGCTGAAACCTTATACAAGTTATTTGCGTCATGAGATTTATGTAAGAGTCATATGATGGCTATTAGCTTTGAAATGACGCAGTGTACCCAAATTAAAAGAGTTAAGAGTCTATTGCAGATTAAAGTTAGTATTTTGATTCGCATTCTTTTATCCTATACACACACGCATACCTTTGTACCTTTGTACGCATGTGTTACATTACCTTTGTAAACAGTTTAATAATAATATCGAGATTAATGAGAAAATTACATTCACAAGAAATTCAATATGGCAATATGAATACACTTTACATTACAATATTTATGGCATTATATTTCAAGGCTTAAAATATACTACAAAGCACTGAGACAATGGACTTTCATGACGCAACTGATTCGCCAAAATCAATCATTAGTGATATTGTTAATGCTTTTAATGAATTCTTAAAAAAAGTGGTTTCTTTGCTACAGTTTCATTTCCTTCATAACTCAACAAGTGCATTTACAGAAATTATGTGCTTCGAAGTAAATATGGATACCAGTCTCTCGCTAGAACAGCTCAGATCGGAAAATTTTTTACGTGGCACATTCGTAAATTTTTACGTGGCACATTCCTAAATTTTTACGTGGCACAGGCCTAAATTTTTTACGTGGCACAGGCCTAAAAGCTCATAGCTCGTCTCTTCTCGTAACTTTAAAAATGCGTTTAGGAGCACATCTCTGCGCATTATCGGGAAAACTTCTAAATGTAATCACAACCATGCAACCCGTGGGTCAATGATAATGATAGCAATTAAAATAAAGAAAAAGAAAATTTGAAAGTGTTCAGATTTTAAAGGTCGCCCAAAAGTGTTTGTTAAGGTTTTTTTACGCCCTTGCTGAGCTCATAGCCTAACAGTATGCTGTTCACTCCGATTAATCCATTTCTTTTTGTCATTTTAGCTTTATTATAAGACATCATTTTCTTCGCATTTACGCCAT